TGAGTGGCTTTTGCTCTGATGGATGTAGATAAGTGTGTGTCTTTGGTCTGGAGGAAAGCTGCCTGTTTCACATGAATCATCTTGCTCACAGAGCCCGGGGATTATTCCCAACTTTTGTTCAAGCAAATTGATGATATCAAGGTGAGCAGAATCAATGCACTGGCATTTGCCAAACAGATTCAGATGAAAACAGGATAAATTAGTTCCTTCCATTCAGTTATTGCTTTGAGTAGACGAGCTGAGGAAGAAGGTGTGCTAAGGTGCACATTGAATGAGAACTACCTTCTGTTTTTAACAGAAGATGCAAAAGAAAAGACAAGAAATATATACACAGTGACTAGAAAAATGTAGCTGGTGGGGAAAGGAATTATGTGAGTAACTCAATTTCTTTCTCTGAACTGTGCCTGGAATAGCATCGATTCTTATTTGCATAGATTGTTCAGAATGTATCGGGAGTTTCCAATGAGGGGTAACAGACTGTCGCCATAATACAGCATCATTTGAAGCTAATACTATAATTAATTTCTTACCACTATACTCGGCTTATATCGACAATGAGATGTGCTGTTATTTAGCACAACTTGGCAGAGACTCTTGAAGTAAAAGAATCCATAATCATGTCTGACAGTCTGTCCAACCGAGAGAACAGGATGTCTAGGAAGAGAATATAATTTCAAGGATGGACATAGCATGGCTAGAATTTTCAAGACATGCTCAGTCAAAAAGAAAACTATTCTCTTGGTATTAATAGTCTAGCTTTATTCCGATGTAGCTGTTTATAAAATAATTTAAAGAATGGGGCATGCTGCAAAGTAATATTGATGTGTACCACAAACAAACTCTGAATAAATAAGGAAATGCTAACCTGAAGATGCAATCTTTTGTTGGTGGGGAAATAATAAACTCTTTATGATTTTCTTATGTGTTTCATTGACATATGGTGCTTCTAACCAAGTGACAAATTAATCAACTAGCTTTAAAGAGAAATGGATGTGGCTTAATGAAGAAGGACAGGATATGTATTATAAGGCAGCTGGTTCTACCACTGCTGGCTTATGGAGACAATATACATTGGGAAGCTAATGAGTCTCTGTTGCATAAGATAGATTCTCTTTATAATAGAATTGTGCACTTTGTCTCTAAATAGGGTTATTATACACACCATTGCACAATGTTTGAAGAGCTTGGTTGGCCCTTGTAGAGGGTTAGGAGAGAAATAAATTGGAAGACAACTGTACTTAAGACCTTCAATCCATCAAACACTTTATATTTATCTAAATTACTAGCACGTTCTCCCAAAATACAAATCTGTATGATACACATGACTAGAATGTTAATGCTGACCCGACTTCATTTTATCTATCAGATTTTCCACTGTAAGCATAGACCAAAATTCCTGCACACTGAAACCTACCTGGCAATACATTCCAACCACAATCCCCGTTTCTTTTGCCTCTGCTTTTCATGTGTTCCACTGTCTTAGTCCTTGAGGTTTCATCTGGTTTTTCTTCCACCCGCCATGAACTCACAGGCATCACTTGTCTTGGGTTCTTTAACTCTCAGAACTATTTAACTTTGAATACCCGGATAGTTTTAGTGGTAATTCATTCCGTTTCTTCACTTTTTCCTTACTACTGGGCCCTCACTGTTCAGTCACTTTTATTCTTTAGAATAAATCCATTTCAACTTATGATACCACCTTGAAAACTAACTGGAAGTGATGGAAGGAGACAGGCTAAATGACAACATCATTCACTCTGTGTCAGAAGTACTTCCTTCTAAAGGACATGGCAGGACTCATTCAAACGAGGTGGGTGAGGAGATGAAGGAGCCGAGTTGTGCTCTTCCCTTTAATACCCTCTAACCTTGACTTTGAACCTGACTTCACCTTCTGGTTTGATTCTTTTACTGATGCTATCATGTAGTCTTTGGAAATTTGTAGCTCAATTTGATTCACATGTTTTCGGGGTGATGACATGTCTTAAAGTCCCAGAGGAAATTTTGCAAAGGAAAAGTGATGCTTGGTTTTATCATTACTAGGGTTTTTTTACTTGTTGAAGGATTTCAGGAACACAATTAATTTATATTGATCTTGAGATTCTCGCCTCAATATTGAGGTAACAATATTTGATTCTTCCACACTTTCTTCTGTGTCTCTCTCCTCCACACCTAGCAAAAATAATTGAAGAGAATTATACCTGTGAAACATTTCAAGATTCTTGAAGTAAGATAGTCTTTTCAGTTTAAAACATTATTATATCCCAACCCAGATTGCTTCCTTTTCATCATTGTGGGGTTCTTTCCTTTTCATTCCTGTATGCTGGTGTGGAGAAAGGTGAACTGAAAGAAATGGACAAAACAGTTTCATGGGCTTCTCCACATATTTATTACCCTCTCCAAATTGAATCTTGAAGCCCTGTCAGAAGTGTTATTTTTCCAACAGAGCAGGCATTAAGTGGCTATAGAAAACAAACTCACCTCCTGATATCTTTCTCATTGCTTGCTACATCCATTTACTGTGAAGATTATATTGTATGGTGTGACAGTGGGTGTTGTATAACAAGGGAAGATCACCACTCTGTAATCATATTCGTTCAAGTTTTCCTCTTTAGCGTAGGCTTTTGAGTTTCTTTGTCATTTCAGAAATTATTTCTTAAATGGTATTATTTTTATATATGTTTTCTTAGGAGCTTATTCCATCCAACTAATTTTTAAGTTGCATATACTCTTCTGTAAGTATAGCTATGTTATTTGTAGCGATTTTTTTATAATTTGGCTAGAAAAAAGAAAAAGTTAAAACAAATGGCAACAATGACTAGTTAATGAATTTTCTCTTACCTAATTTAGGACTTTTATGTTCTTTAGAAAAAGTATTATTTGATGATAATGCTAAGAATACTTATTCACTCTAGGTAAAAAGTTAGTTTCCATTTGATTGGATGTTCCATTGAATGAGAAAGCTTATACTTACTGTATTTTTTTCCTTAAGGAAATAAATATGTGTAGAGACTAGTGAGTAGGCACACTAGTCTTTATCAATATTTGTTCAGATTATTGCAGTTTATCAATATGGGAATCTAGAATTGAGATGCTTTAGAAATAAATCTTTGCTTGCATGTAATATATTAGTTTAAGGATCTGAAATCACTTTTTAAGCAATTAAACTATAGGATACAAGTGGGAATTCCATTTTTTAAATTATTTTTATTTTTATTTTTTATTTTTTTTGAGTCGGAGTCTCACTCTGTCACCCAGACTGGAGTGCAGTGGCCGCTCCCGGCCACCGCAGCCTCGACCTGCTGGGCTCCGGCGATCCTTCCGCCGCAGCCTTCCAAGTAGCTGGAATTACAGGCATGCGCTACCACGCCCGGCTGATTTTTTGATTTATTGTAGAGATGAGGTCTCGCTGCCCAGGCGGGTCTCGAACCCGCGGGCTCAGGCAATCCACTCACCTCAGCCTCCCAAAGGCGCGGGATTACAGGCTGAGCCACCGAGCCCGGCTTGTTTATTGTTTAAATAAAATTATGGAATTATTATTTGCTTTGGATTCCTAGGAAATCCTTTCTTTTAGTTTTACAAATTTGCATATCCTAGTTTTCCTGAATTTTTACTTATTCCCTGGAACCACTTCCAGATCTCTTTTCTTCCTTTCCATGCCATCATATTTCTTAAAAGACTCATTTTCTTTACTTCCTTCTGATTTGTTCTTCAACTTGTTTGACTTTGGGTTCCCAAATATCACTATGATATTCTAACTAAGGTCAGTGGTGATGTCTTAATTAACTTCCCCAGAGGCCCTTTACAGTCCTTCTCCTGTTTCTTCTCTTGACTTCATTTGATATCACTGACCACTCAAATCATTCCTCTCTCTGTAAATATCTGCTTTTTCTTGGTTTGGGGGACGTTCAATTGCTTTCTCTCATTTTCTTTCTCTTGATCTTTCTTCCTTTCCTGTCCCTTAGCTCTTGTCCCAAAGATCTGGTTGTTCTGACTCACTTTGCCCTTTGCCTCTCAATTCTGGGCTTACATTTTCAACTCTTCTCCTAGTTATCCTGCAGGGCCTCAAGCTCAACATGGCCCACCTCGCTGATTTGCAGTCACATTTTCCTTCCTCTTCCCTGACACCTGCTCCTCTTCTAGCCTCCCTTTCCTCCAGCATACTGCTCACACCCTCTTCCTCAATCCCAATTGCCCACCTTAGAGACTTAGGAGTCATCTTGGCTCCTGCTTCTTCCTTCCTCTCAAGTTTGATCATTCATCAAATCTTGCTGATTCCACCTTGGAGATATCTTCACATCTAACTACCTTACATCTCAGAAGCCTCAGGTCCAGCTTTCTTCATCTTCTGCTTGTACTGGCGCCTCCTCATTCTGCAGTCTCCTCATTCTGCATTCTGCTTTGGGGAATAGCTGAAAGTTATTCCTCTGAAGAAAAATCTAGGTGTGGCTCATCTCTGTCTCCCAATTGCCTGATGGATGTAGTCCCAAATCCCATCCCATGTGACATGCAGTCTGGTCCCAACCTATGAGCCTGAGCTCTTCTCTCCACTTCTTCCCTCTTCTTCCCTGGGCCCCTGGTGAGCTGCATTCACTGTTCCCTGGTCCTATCACTGAACTTTGACCTAAGAAGCTCTTTTTCTCTCTCTTTGCTTGGGCAACTCCTCAAACCACCGTTAGTCAGTGCCTGCTTTTATTGACAGCAACACTTTGTTGAGATGTTCCATCCTTGCCCTTATCTCACAGTCGTGTGCTCCTAAGTTTCGGGTTGAGTTTCTCTTACTCATTCATTGTCTTATTGTTTTCCAAATACAGGGCACATCCCAGGCCCTTGAAAATGATTGGTTTGATGCATGACTGGATGAATCTGTGAGTGAATGTGATCAGTACATCACTGTGAAGTAGCTTGGGATACTTCCAAATTGTCCTGGTCATATAGTGAAAGGCATTTTCCCCGTTTTAACTGGGCTATTTATCTCTGCTCCTGGCTATGCTTTCCACTAGGAAAAGGAGAAACTCTATGTGGAACTAAAGCACATCTTGGCCCGGCAGCCTGGGCCTGAGGCTGCAGAACAGCTTCAGATCTACCGACACACATTGAGGGAGAAGACCAAGCAGCTTAAAGTAAGTGGTAGATCCTGCTTTTTCCTGGTCCAGGTGCAGCCACATTCTGGGGAACACACCTGGGCAAGTCCACTGCCTTGACACAATGAGCAAGTCTCCAGAAATGCCATCCTCCACTGAGGTTCAGCTTCCTTAGAGCTCCAGACCAAGGAGGAGCTGGGCAGACCTCACTGCTACCCCTTTGTTCCTAGACAATTAGATACCACCATTCTTCATTTCCAGAAAGAGGCAGATGAACAAGTGTGGGGAATAGGGTTTGTGTAGATGATCTCAAGATGATTTAGAGGGCTTGGAGGCTAGAGAGGAGCAGAGGAAACATTTTATCACCTTCACCCAGCTGAAGCAGACCACTGAGCCACAGCAGGTGCCCATTATTCCACCCCATCTGAAATAAACATACACAGAACTCCAGCCACTGCCCAGCTCTGAGGGCCTTGTTTCAGAAACATCAGTCAAATAAGTAGTCATGAAAGGGAAATAAAATCAGGCAAGAATTTTGTTAGTACAATTCCTTTCTAAGTCTTATAAGAACCTCAGTTGGGGAGATGGAGTGTTTTACTTTTATATGTGCCTTTTAAAATTTTTCCCCAAAATTGGGTGTGTTCACACCATATTTTGAGTTTTACCTCCTAAGCAAGTACTTAGATATTCTTGGTGTGTTGGGGAACCACATGCCAGATGAATTCTGGCGCTTCCTGCCCAATGAGGGTAATAATCATTGCCTTTTTGCCCAGGGTAAAATAGTGCCACCCTACTAGTGTAGCACGAATACTTTTGAAAATAGGATATTGTAAAATTGCTTCCTTTTACTTAAAAAGGGCAAATGAAACAGAAGACTAACTAGAGCATTAATTTTCAATTTGTCACCTTGTATGTTCATTTCACATTAGAATGCTGAGACATAATTTGAGTTTTATGTAAGGCATAGTCTTTCGATTATTTTTGTTCTTTAAACAAATGAATAATTCAAACAAATTATTATTTTCTTGTTTTCTCAGGGGTGGGTATAGATTAGAAAAGCACAGGTCTTTCTTATTCACACTTATGTGGATTGCCTTAAAGGGTTCACAGGACTCTTGTTAAGAAATCCAGTATTTTTTGCTTAAATGAGATGTGACATCCCATAGAAGACGTTTAGATATGGGAAGGATTGAGCATTGACTGCCAGTTTGTTCTCATTATCTGGACTTGAGGAAAACTGCTAGGGGAGGGAGGGGCATACCTCATCAACAAGGGTACTGCATAATCAATATTTGTATACCTAACCCTGAATTGTACCCCACATCTTTACAGTAAAAAAAAGAATATTAAAAAAAGAAAAGAAATTGTACATTTGTTGTTTCTGAGTTTAACTATTGAGGCAAGTTTTTTTCAACATGAAAATGACATGTTTTAGCTCATGATAGCATATTCAGAATTATTTTCTCAGCAGTTAAGAGGAAAGAGTTCAAAGCAAATGAACACCAGAAAGGCCAAGATTTTCCTTTTGTGCAAATCTTTAAAATGGAGAGCAATAGGAAACACAAATTTAATCTATTGCAGATCCTTTAGAATAATAGCCTTTCTTTTCTCCTTTTGGTTTTGGTGGGAAACACACCCCAATTTTGGCATGCTTAGATAAATGGATTCCCGCTCTTCTTGTTCAGCCTGAGACCGGGAGCATCTATTGAACACAGCCATGGAAGAATACTGATATTAGCCTTCTTATTTAAGTCCCTCTTATACAGTAGACTCTCCTATGCCCTTGCCACAGTCACCTGCTTCTTAGAGGTAAGTGTCCCAGTGCTGGGATAAAGGGAGAACCTGTGAATAGTCCCAAATAACACAATAAAGAGGTGATAAGTATTTAGCAGAACAACAACCTTGGAAAACACATAAATTGAATGCCTAGTTAGTAATGGTGGCAGAATGATTTCAGAATAATTTTTTCCATAATCCTCAGATGAATCACACACCTTAGTGGTGTTTTTTTTCTTGAATACATTTTTTAAAGGTTTTAAGAGCAATTTTACACTGTGCATCTGGAAGTTTTTCTGTCTCTATTCACAATATTCCTTCAAGCACATTACACCATTCAACTGTGAGCATGTTTGAATGTGGCCCTGATAATCCTCCTGTTAAGCAGAGGAATGATGTTTTATTTAAATTTGTCACCTGATTATGAGTTTTCAGTCCTCAGCCAGGTTTTTACCCAGATATGAGCCTTGAGCTGGTGGAAGCATGCAGATTAATTGTTAAGCATGGGCATTGTTTTGCACCTCTAGCTCCACTACAATAAATGGTAGCAGATTAAAAGATTTTTCATAAAAGGATATTGTCTCCCTGTGTATCTTTTGTTAATGGTGCTTTATTTACCATGTTAGGTTTTGTCTTCAGAATTGAATATGTATGAATCACAGAGCCAAGAATATAAGTATGAGATTGAGAAACTTACCAATGAGCTGCTGAATTTAAAGAAGAAATACCTTGCTCAGAAACGTAAAGAACAAATGCAAAAGTAAGAAATAGTTAAATATTATTCCTCCGAATCCAGAGCTACCTCAAAGGGTTGAAGGGTTTTGGGAAGCTTTGAGAATCTCCGCTAAAAGTTTTCTTTTTAATCTTGGAAATAGAAGATTTGAACCTAAACTTGTCCTCAGAATGACAAACTATTTCCCCACCTGTAAGCCAAGTTACTCTCCATTTGTATTAAACCTAATCTCTTGTCCATGGGGAATTTGAAGTATGAGTCATGTGGCTGAATTGAAAAAAATGAACGTGTACATTCTAAATCTCTGAAGTTCTTAAATCCCATGTTCACTTTTTCATGAGTATCAATAGCAACTTTTGCAATTTCCATGGAACATAAATAAATTGAAGGACACTTGAGGCAAAAAAATAGTTAAATGTTCTAATTTTGTTTTATCTGTTATCTGCTCGTAAGAAAGTATTTTGTGAACACGCACATTGCACTGTGGTCGACTGAGTCACAAGGTGAACAAATGACATTCTACAGATCACTAACTGGGTTTGTATCAGAACAGGATTGGTATCTCCTTCAATACTGCAGTCCTTCCTGAGACTCTAACAGGGATCCACTAATATCTTTCTTTATTGGTGGATCTGACGTGGAACAGAGGAAATATAATGTGATTTTTTTCCCCCATGCTGTTCTTATGGTTTGGAGATAATCATGCCACAACTATGTTTGCAAATGAAATTCAAAATCAGTCTTGTACATGCTGAAATACATTCACATTAAAAACCACATGTATTTTGCTAAGAGGGAGGGGCTTGGTAAAACTGTTCTTTCTAATAAGACAGCTGTCCCACTGTGATTAAGAGCAGTTCACCTATGTTTATATAAACTATCTCTGAACTACCTTCTGTGTCTAGTAACTGGCTTCAGCATCTGCTATGAGGTGTCAGTGTGATCTATTATTCTTTTAGGAGATGATACTGCACATGTGAGGTTATGATTTTGGGTTTCAGGATGCAGACATGTTGGAAAGTAATTTTTTTCCCACATTATTAGTATCATTTGCCTGATTCCAGGATGAGAGTGGGGGCCTAAATGAATCAGTAGGTTTGAAACTTGGTTTGGTTTTGTGGCATTGCCAAAATCATCCAGTTAATTCTCTATGACTCACTTTATGGGCTGAAAGTCAAGCTTGGTATATTTATCCATATGGACATTTCAGGGACATGGAAATACGGCTTGAGTGCAGTTGCCTATGATTCGTTAGTAGCAAGCAGTTGTATAAAGTAACTGGATGCAAATTCATTTGCCCGTAAAATCTGCCCTTCTTGTAAATCAGAATACTCCTTAATTCCACATTTAGATGCCAGTTGCTTAGTAGAGTAAAATACTGCTATAATTTAGATAAGTCTGTCTTAATGTGTACATCTAGCAACTATCTGATTCAGAATCACTAGTGTTTATTATACATGCAGGTTCCTAGGACCCATATCCAGATATTTGTATTATACTGGATCTGAATTGGCCTCAGAAATCTGCAATTTAACAAAATTCTCAGGTGATTTTCATACACACTGAAGTTTGAGAATCACCAGTGTTAACAATGTGAATTAAACTAATGTTGGAGTGGAAACACTATAGGTTTCTTTTAGGATATCAAGGTTGTGCTCATAAAATATTAACATGGCTAATTTCCACACGAGGCAGGTGTCTAGCTCAGTGGTCTTCAAGTTTTTTGATTGCACACCCTCATCAGAAAGACATTTTTGAACTTGTAGCTCTCCCATGTATATGCAAATTTTTAAATTTTAGAGTAGTTTTAGATTTACCTTCAAAATATATATATTTAAAATAAATTACATGCAGACACCACTATCAGTTTGTATTTTTTAATTTTTAAAGATAAAAAGCATAAATAAAATCTCTAATATCCTCTTTCTACTCCCAATGGGTCATCTCATTCATCTTCTAAAGTTCATGCACTCCATTTTGAGACCAGTGGTCTAAGTTTATCAGTTACAGATGGCTAGCCTGGCTAAACAGTTAATTATTTTTCTAGAGCTGATCTTTCCTGCCTTGGCCCTGGGGCTCAGTCTAGTTTCCTTTGACCTTAGTACCTGCTGATCCCCAACCCTACATAGTTTGCTGGACACAGTGTATGATGGGCTGCCCCACTGTTGGCGTAGCCCTTCTCAATGGCCCATCTGTCTTGCCATGGGCTACTAGTGGCCATTTAAATTTAAATGAATTACAGTGAAATGAAATTAAAACTCAGGTCCTCAGTTTGACTAGCTACATTTCAATTGCTTAATAGCCATATGTAGCTAGAGTGTGGGTATAGAGCTTTTCCATCATCATGGAAAGTTCTGCTGGACAGCGCTCCTCTAGAATTGTTGCCTTTCCCTGTCCTCTTGTCTACATGCTCCTTACTTGCAGCTACTCTAACAAAGTTAGGGTTCCATTGGTGCTTCCATCTACTTGGGGGAACCATAAACTAGTAGACAGAGAGCTAAGTTCATGGGAAAACAGCAAAAAGATTAAGGTACTGAAGAAAATATGCAGAGGCAAGAACAAAAGTGCTGAGATAGTTTAGACCAGAAGGAAGAAGGCTGAGGGAGTCATTATGATAGTCTATAAATACATTAAAGAGATGATATAAAGGAGGCAGTATTCCCATTAGTCAGCTTAGACCAAGCCAGAGCATTAAGCTTAAACTCCTTCAGAAAGAAAATTTTAGGTTATTTAAGGCAAAAGAGGGCAGGGGAAGGGGAGTGCTGCCTTTCTCTAACACCGAGTCAAGAGCTACGCAAGTTGCCAAAGTACAGGAAGGCATCCTCTTTGCTGGACCCACTCAAGGCTAAAGCTTTTGTCCTATTTATGGAGGATGGTTTTTCACAATAATGAAATCAATTCTTCTAAGAGACAACTGGGTTGATTAACCAATCCTCTATAGGTTCTCTCCAAATGGAATAATTTAATAATCTCTGTGGATGTTCTCCCCATACATTTTCTTTATACAATAGCAGCTCATATCATTTTTACTCTTTTACTCTCTTTTGTTTTTCTCAAACATTCTTCTCATCACACTCTGATCCTGACCTGCACCTGACTCCCCTTGAACCCTCTGGCTGGTCTAGAGTCTGCAGTACTAGTCAGATTCTTTTCCAAAAGGCAGCTCATCTCCCTAGGGTAAATAATTCCTGGTTGTCCAATCTAGCTGGCTTTGGTCTTAGCAGTTTGCTTAATTTTTATTAACAGGAACTCTTCCCATAGGTGTTTTCTATAAGAGCTTTAATTGCACAATGGATAATTTATGCAAATCTAAGTTCTCTGTAGGAAACCTGAATATGAGAGAGAGAGAGAGAGAGAGAGAGAGAGAGAGAGAGTTAGTTTGTGTGCTAAAAGAGATCCATTTAGAAATTACATTGTAGATTTTAGAGTAGAACTTCCTTCGTTTGTTGCTAAAAATGCTATCTTATTAATCTTCCTCAGCTTTTCTGGTATTTAAGCTATTCTAATAATAACAGTTATCTAGAGTAACAAGAAAATTTGTGTTTTATAAATGTCCAAATTTGATTGTATACATTGGATATGTAATAAATATTTATACATTTCCACCAGAACTTTGGAATATGAGTTGATAAATGATGATTAGTTATAATTGGGTCAAGAGAAAGATTCTTCTAACTGATCTTTGGAGCTAAACAAATGTTTTATGAAACAAAAAGACAAGGACAAGTCAGAAGTCACCATATCCACAGTATTCGAGTTATAGTGAGGTCTTCTGTCCATATTCACATTAGGGCAGCACATTAGGGGAGTGTATTTCACATTTAATTGTATTTCCCTAATTCTGTGTGTTATTGGCTAACACCTTATTAGATTTTAACAACTACCTTGTCTAAAACTAGAAGCTTTAATTAAAGTAGCTCATATTGTCTAATTCACCCTAGGAATATCAAACATCAAACTCAGAAGATGAAAACGATGTGAAAGAAGCTAATTTTCACCTCCTCTCTTACAGAAACAAAGACAGTATACCCATGGATGACACCTTCTCAATGGTCAGACCAACTGGTCCTCGTTTTGCTGGGGGTGGATTTCCTCTCAAGTCATCAAATGTGAAGTCCTAACTTGAAGCTGTTGGCTGGGTCCAGTTGAACAGCTCATGAAATGTTCTGTGGAACATTTTGGGGGAATCTCAAACTCCTTGGATCAAAGAATCAGGTGCTTAGATTCCAGGATGGAAAGAAACACAGAACTATTGCAGTTGCACACATATGTGAATGATGACGTTTTACCTAGTCCATGTTGGCATTAACAAATTATAATTCTATCTGTTCAATTAGGCTGACCCATTGCATGAGGCAGATCTTTTGTTACTACCACATTGATTGGTTTGAAATGTTCCAGATCTAGACATTCTATGTGGATGAAACTTTGGATCTTAATTTCTCTATTATAGACATTGGTGCACTTGAAGGTTTTATATTTTTAAAGTATTTTAAAAATGAAATGTGTCCTCCCGCATCCTATTAATAAGAATCTATTTTAATTATTCCTCATTAACAAGTCATTGCATGAAATGAGAAAGAAGGACAAACTCTCAAGAATTTAAAAAGTATTTTGAGAATATTTTCTGTGTGGAATTTCTTTTCGGGCTTGGTGTCAGAAAACCTATTCCAAAGAGACATACTAATAAATACTTCATCATAAAAAATAAAAGAGAACCTTTGTAGAGATTTTGATCTTTGCTTTGGTAGAATATATAATTAAAGTTTAAAACTACTGTGAGAAATGTTTAACATGAGGATTTGATTTAGAGGAACCAAAATTATAAAATGAGGATTTTGGGCTCAAATCCAAAGGACTACCCTTTCTAGACCTCTCTCCTTCTTCAAGACTTGAGAACCGAGTTATTTAGCACAGGAATCTGTTTGGCTCCTAGGCTGCCAGCATTTAATTGAATCCATTGTGTTCTATTTTTGTTGAAGCCACAATTATTGGGGCACCAATTCAAAGTTTCATCATTAAGAGTGTTCATTCAGTAATATTGTGTGAGGACACGCTATCTCCCTCACCATAACTTGACCTCCATAATTGCTTAAATTATTGAGGAGCATGTAACTCAGGGATGAATAAGAACAATGAAAATAGATCATTAGAACATTCCATTTGTGGTGAGGGACCAAGATTCCCCTTGTGAAGAGCAAGAGTGTTAACCATTCAAGACATTTTTTTAGACTGTATAGAAGGGTGGTGTCACAGAAACATCAGGGATCTTGTTGAGGTTCAATTTGGTCAAGTTTTGCCAGGAAAGAGGACTTTTTAGTCTGGTGATATCAACTGAGGAGAATGAGTGATGAATCTTAAATCCATCTCCCTAATCAATTGAAATTAGGGATTTATTATGTAGTGGATAAAGGAATGTAACTTTGTGTGGGAAATTAGGAATTAGGGAAGGGTAAGGAAGTAATTGAGTGAGGGGGTCTGGTGTCTCACTGACTGGATGTGATGATCCAGTGAGTTTCAGTCCTTTGCTTGAAGGTTGGGTTCCTGAGGAAGGAACTCAAATAAGACAAATGTAAGTTTTAAGCTTTAAGACCAGAAGGGTCATTTTTTATGTTTATTCAAAAAATCCATAAATAACTGTTCCTTGGGAGATTTGGGCTGGCTTCAGTAGAACTTCAGTGGGATCTTCTGGATGTCCTGCGGCACCTTCAGTTCACTACATGCCAGTCTTATCTCTTAGGTGAGATCCTCCAGAAACTGATCAAAATCATTGGTGGCCATGAAAGTGATGTATTCTGAAGTGATCTCAGGAAAGCCAGTAAAAGGGTAGAGAAATGAGACAGGGAAGGGAAGAAGAGTAAGGAAGGGTACAGTGTCAAGTTCCATGATAGGAGGCTTTGACTCCGTCCTGCAAGGGAGCTCTGGAGACAATGTAATCACAGAGCAGTCCCCAACCGGGATGAAGGAGCTGGGCTATTTACATCCTCCATACTGTCTGTCTGGTCAGGGACTGCTCTGGAAGGATCTTTCTGATTCTCTCTGCCTGAAGGTAAAGCAGGCTCTGGCAACTTTGTGGTAGTCTTCAGACAAAGAGACTGTGGGTGCTGACTGTTGATAGTGAAAGTGGTTAGGGGTTCAGGGGGAAAATGGAGTCAGCATTGTCAGACTCTGCTTCTCCTAAATGGGCCAGTGAGATGGAAGGCAACCCTCAGAGTAGCTGATAATATTGTGGTGAGGTGTGACCCATCAGTTCTTTGGGTACCCTACAGGGATTAGGAGGATGAGAATGTATCCTACAGAGTTTACCAGGAGCACTTTAAACATAAAGAACCACAATGGGGGCATTTTTGAAAATCATTGATATCTTCCCTCAGAGTCAGCCATATTCTGTTTAGACAAAAGACTTTTGCTGGTAAGATAAGGCAGTTATGGCATATATACAACTCTGGAGATTTTCTCCTTCATTCAGAGATATTTTGAAATACAGCTATAGTCAACTTCATTCTGAGACCTTGAGTGGTTTCCTAAGAAGTTAACTTCTCTGGGGCAATGGCATCCATGATTCTCGTTCTATCTCTGTATGGCAGACTCTGGAAACTGATGCTGGGTTCATATCCTGGCTTATCATAACAATGGGTTATTTTGAGGATTCAATGTATTAACACATGTAAACTTAGAACAATATTGGGCACATAGTAATTGTTCAATGAACATCTGGCATTTTTACTATTATGTTAAGAGATAGATACCTAATATTTTGGAATTAGAGAAGAAAAGTTGTTATATAATACTTAATTATGAACCTGATTCTAGTCATCACTTAGAAGATGGATGACTCGAAAATGTCTGGATGAAGCTGGATTTCGTAATGTAATTTAAAATGACTAGTAAAGTAATTTCAAATGGAACATCTTGTAGAAATTCCACATTGTGTGCCTCATGAAAACTTCCATATAATTTTCTTATAGTTGTTATCTGAGGACAAGTTGATACTTCACCTTCAAAGTCAGAACTGTCAGTCTTCTTTTGCTCACTGGAGGTAGAGACTCTGCTGGTTTCTAGCTGCCATCTTCTTCCTGTTTCTCTCTGTATAACAAAGCAAGGTGGCAAGCTTCTGCTGATGACAGAGTCCCCATGAGCTGAGGTGGAAGAGGACTCTGGCAGCTGACACAGTAGCTCTGTTAGCCTTAATATGCTTGTTTCAGATGGAGGCGTGAATTGGGCTAGAAAAGGTGGACGATACTGCCACAGCTTCTTATTTTCTGCATATCCTGACAGCCCAGGGTGTTATAAGCAATAACTGTTTAGGTGCAGGTGTTACTACTGTAGCCACAGCACAAAAATGAGCTGTTAAAAACATTGAGATTTGCAAATCATTAAAGATAACTGTGAACTCACAGTGGGCTGAGGTGCTTTAAAAATCACAAATTTGAACTGCATTGTAAAGCAACATTAGGAGATTGTACAGTCGCATAATTTTACCCTGGAGTTTTCAGAATTTCAGAAAGAGCTCCTGTTGCTAAACTATTCATTGACTCCCTACTGGGCTGATGGGGAGCTAGTATGGTTTCTCTGTTAATAGAGAGAGACATGATATAGGGGACTCCCTGGTCATTATTTGCTGATCATAGCTTCTCGGCAACTGCTCTTATAGCCAGGTTTTTATTGTGCTTACCTCCAAAGAATTGCTCAGAGCAAAGATTTCTGGCTGTGATAAGCCACAGCTATGGTGGTAGTTGGTAGTCATGCTAGGAAGAGACGGCAATAATTCTCCTTGTCACAGGCTGTAATTTTGCTATAAATTTATCCAGGGTTGATAATTATCATTTGATTTCCTGACTTGCTCTGACAGATTCTGAAGTTTGACCTAGACCAAAACACCCAGAGGAAAATACTGTAGAATGCATTTTGAGCAGTGTGGTATTTCAGAGCCTGGACAATTTGAGGAAAGATACTATTATTCACTTAAACGTAATCAATTATATGGATATTTAGTTGGGATTGGGTCAAAGGAAGGGCATTTAAAAATATTTAAATGGTAAAATAATTTAAAATATATCTCACTTTTCTTTGTAGTAGATGGAAAATATTTTTATAGTATTATCCATTTTTAGCTTCTAATTCAATGCTGTTTTAGTATACTATTTATCATATCTATTATTTAAAAATTCCATTAGAGTTTTAGATCCATTAGAATTTTATAACAGTATAAAATGTGATATCATATCAACAAAGTGCCATTTTTCTTTTTTGTAATTAAAAATAGATTTTTTTAAAATTTTAAGTCTCATAAAAAATTTAAAAATGCAGATAAGCAAAATGAAGAATAAGGAAGGACATTCATAATCCAACCACTCATTGATAACTATTATTTTTCTGGGCTAACATTCATCTAATTTGCATGGGTTGGCTGTACAGTTGTTTATACCCACCATTTGTTCTGATTGGTCAGTGCTGTGCTTCTTAGTAAGTATTTTTAATATTTCCTTTGAAATATTACTGTTTTATACTTTGAATGTATCTTTTTGGACTTTATTTTTTTTGAGTCAGACTCTCACTCCATCACCCAGGCTGGACTGCAGTGGCATGCTCAGGGCTACAGCAGCCTTGACCTGCTGGGCTCAGGTCATCTGCCTCAGCCTTCCAAGTAGCTGGAACTACAGGCGCGTGCTACCACACCCAGCTAATTTTTTGATTTATTGTGGAGATACGGTCTCACCAAGTTGCCCAGGCGGGTCTCAAACCCGCGGGCTCAGGCAGTCCACTCATCTCAGCCTCCCAAAGCGCAGGATTATAGGCTGAGCCACCGAGCCCGACTTCTTTTTGGACTTTTAAAGTAAGTATATGCTGTATATATTAATATGTTTTATTTTTCAAAGTTAACTTTATTGTGATATCATTTACATAAAAAACTCACATATTTTAAGTGTATAGTTTGGTAAGTTTTGACAAATGCATAGGCCTAAGTAACCACTGCCACACTCACCACTTCTCAAATATGCCCTTATGCCCTTTGCAAGTCAATATTCTCATCCCTTCTCCAACCCAAACAATCATGGATCTGTTTTTCACTGTTATAGCTTTGTCTTTCTTAAAATTTTATAAAAGTGGAAGAGTATAT